TCGGGCTCTTAGTAGGGAGATCAGGCTCCTCGTAGGGAGTTCAAGCTCCTCGTAGGGAGTTCGGGCTCCTCGTAGGGAGTTCGGGCTCCTTGTAGGGAGTTCGGACTGCTGGTTTCCTCCCTTTGGTGCTCACGCCCTGGGCGCGCTGTTGTGCCGAGCTGTTTGCCTTTGCCACGTGTTGAGTGATTACGAGGTCGGGCCAAATCTTCCTTCATCAATACCCGATATCGATACTTTGGTCCTTGTGTGGATGTATTTATCAGGAATAATGAGAAGGTGATGATCTTGGTTTGGTTACTGGTTTCTGGTTAAAGAGGAAGCTCCTATTATTCCTCAAAATATGATATGACAAGCCATAAATTGTTCTTGGTCTCTCTTTGTTTAAGCTAGAAACCTTGGGTTATTTATTGATGATTTTAAGTGATATCCAGCCTTCAGAACAATCTCCAAAATACATCGTTATTGGAGATGTGTTGGTAGCAATATTCCTAATAAGACTGTTTTTTCATGCTTGCTGCACGGGTTACCATGACTAATAGAATTGGATTCATTGTCTTCATTTGAAGACAATCAAAATTTTCGGAGATTAAGATGATAATTCACTTAGGGATTCTTCTTCCTGAAATTAATACGTAGGTGGCCCATGTAATGAGTTAACCTTGGAAGTAATGGATAATTCCTTTGTTTGTTCAAATGGGCCTACATCTCCATTGAGATGTGGATGCCTCAAATTTTTGGAACTTACTCCCAGACCCTTATGGTTGCTAAGTCATTACTGGATTAAGATGAATAACATTGAATAGAGAGATAAGTCTGTGTATTACTACTCCATGTTAAAATCATTGTGGCAATAAACTAATTACTTAGAGACAGTTTAGTGGAATTGCTCCAAAGATGTAGGGAAGGTGCTTGTAGAAAGAGACTGGGCATTAGAATTCTTGGGAGGGTTGAATCCTGAGTATGATATTGCATATCAGACATCCTTACTCAGGATGATGTATCTCAATCATAGGTATACTCTCTTGTTCACAGTGAGGAGAGTTATTTAATAGGTATTCCATTAAGATCTTTAGGGTAAACAATACACTGACATCCTCTTAAATAAAATGGAATAAGTAAACAAGAGAGTTGGCTGATGGAAATTATAACAGTCTGATAGCCTCTTAAGTAAAATAAAGTATATCTACAGTTTTCAACAAAAAGGGTAGCAATGATGACGTCTACTTTTGATGTCTAGCATCTAAGTCACACAGCCTGTTATTAAGAAATGAAACAATGAAAGAGACATGTTTAGTCATACCATCCCATGGATGAGATGATCGCCTGTATTCTAAACAAGGCTATGTTTATGCAAAATTGGTTTTATTCTAATTTTTAACAAAGCATGTATAGAGGGGAATATGGAATATATAGTCTTCACATGGGTTATGGGTTATGGGTTATGGGTTATGGCAATATATTATTTATATGAAGTGAGTCAACGAGTCCTGTTTTAGTCTTGCTGAGTGAGATTCTCATACATGTATTGAATTCTGATTCCTGTGTCTGAGTCTATGCAACACTGCTTGGAAGCTACTTCCACATATTGTCCCTTTCCTGGTTGTACGAGAATAATACCAAACCAAATAAAATAGTGCAAATGTGGGCATTTTTTCAGTGATGCTTAATATTCATTTTGCTCTTGGTCTCTCCCATCAATGGAGACTATAGTGGCTGCCCAGGCCAAAATGGGGAGGTATAGTTGGTATTTTTCCTAGTTAGAGAATGTAATTGCTGGCTCTCCTGGTACTACATCTTTTACATCCATATTTGCTCCATCTATTGTGTTTGCCCATACAGGTAGTTGGTTCACTGCCCCAAGTAAGTCCATTCCTTATTGATTCTGAGACATTGGACCATTTGACCAGCATCTTTTCATTGTTTCATTCTTATCTTCTGTTCTTGGGTAGGAATTAGGTTTCCATAGACAGTGGGTCCCTTGCTCTTATAGGATAATGTTAAAATTAATGATGTTTTAACCTTGTCCTCTGTACTATATTTCCTAAGCTTATTACGCACTTACTTTTCAATTGTTTAAACTAGGATCAAATCCAAGTGAACCGATCAATTCCCTGTTCAAGGATTCTTAACACTATCATACACTAGTGCGATTTGTCATACAGTTGTACCCTATAGTTGTATGTATGATTGTAGTATGTTACTTGAACA